TAGGGAGGCCCCTCACTCCTCAACCTGACATCCTGACCAGTATGTCCTGTTAGGGCACCACGGAGAGGTCTGAGAGGATGGGTCAGCCAGACACTCCTGGTACCCTCCTGAAGGGGGGCCACCAGCCCCACCTGTGCAAACAGCCGGGTGCACTGCAGCACCCATTAATATCCCCTTCTTTCCTTCTTCTTACCCTGCTGCCCCACATCCTCGGCAACTCCCAGAAGTGCTTTCCTGCCCTGTTCTTAGTCCTCCCGTGTGGGGAGGCGGGAGGTCCCAGAGCAGGGTCACAGAAGCCTTCTGCTCTAATCTAAGCCTTCAGCTCCGACTCAGCTCTGTGTGAGTGACAGGGGTGGGGTGAGGCATTACCCTCGCCTTTGATTCAGGCCCTTCTGTGTCCTCTTTGGATGGCAAGGACCACCACCTCCAGTCTTCCCTCTTCTGCCATCACCTACAGGAACAGCCTGAAATCCTTAAGCTGAAGTACTCCCCTGCCACCATGACCCTTTCAGCTAGCACCGAATGCCCCTGTAATCCTGTACCTCTTCCTCCCTTCCCTTCGCCATTTTCTCACAAGCTGTTCTCTCTGCTTGAACACACCTCGCCACTCCACTATATCCTTCCAGGCTTGGCTCGGTGTCCTCTCCTCCAGGGAAGGTTCCTTGCCTACGCTGGCTATTCAGGGGCCTCCTCTGTGCACACATCAACAGGGCAGCAGGGCACTGCTGGAGCACATTGACCACTGCACTCGCAGCTTTGAGTGACCTGCAGCAGCTGAGTCGGGCCCAGCTATGTACTCAGAGATAGGCTAGGCCTCCATCTGGTCCCGGTTTGAGGGTAGGCAGGACCAACTCCGGTCAGGGCTACTTGTACTTCTGAAGCAGCTACTCCACAGCACCATGGATGTATGTGCAATATTGCTGCAGAGGGGGCCTGGTTCTAGCACCTTCCCTGTCACTCATGAAGGCATGCCTGTGTCCAGTGGGCTTGGCGGCCTATGCAAAGTGAGACTGAGGCAGGGTTGCTTGGTCTCGGTGGCCTGTAATCCCGGCACTGTCAGCCTCCAGAAACCACCATGTCAACAAATAACCAATCATTCTGCTACTCAGCAAGGTCCCCGGCAGGTCTAATGGTCTTTTCTAGGCTGAGAGCTAGTACTCAGTCAGTCCCGGGCAATCCTCCCTCGTGTCTGCCTGCACTGAAGACAAGGTTATGCCCATGTAGCTCCACTTGAAGACCTTTCCTGGGCAACCCTAGCTATGGGCAGCCTGCTCTCCAGCACCTGAAAGATCTGCTTGCCAAATCTGTGAAGTGAGGACTTGGCCTGGATCATTTTGGCTCACCCTCGCACCCCAACTTTCAATCTCCTTAAATGTTCACTAAGATACGTAAAGGGGGAATTTTCCATGGGGTTATGTAGATTTTTTAAATGAGACCCTGTAAATCCAAAGCAGTGGTTGGATTGGCAAAGAGCCATATGCTGCTGCCAGGCCCTCTCAGAAGGCCGAGGTAGATGGGTGTGTGTGTGGGTGTGGGTGTGTGTGTGTGTAGCAAAAGAGGTGCTGGCTTGCGGCTTGCTCTGGTGGGCAGGACCTTCTATGGAGAAGCTGAGGGGGCTGGTGCGAGCACTCTCCCACAGGCTCCCCTGGCTGCAGTTTCTTCTGGACTCCAGACTATCAGGCTAGAGCCTGGTCCAGCCCTCAGTCAAGGGAGGCCCCTCAGGGGAAATGAAGGGGCCCAAGCCACATAGCACACACCTGCTAGGAGCACAGGTAAAGCCTCACCATCCCCATCTTAGTCTGCTTTCTACTGCTCTAACAGAATACCACAGGCTGGATACTTTATAAAGAATAGTTTATTTGGCACACTAGTTTATTTTGGAGGCTGGGCAGTCCAAAAGCACAGAGCAGCTAGGACTCAGCAAGCTGGGCAGGGAGCTGGGGATGGAGCTGGGTAGCGGGAACCTCCTGGCATCTGGCGAGTTCATCTCCTGGCAAAAGGGGGAAGCAAGCAGGTGAGAGAATAAGAATGCGGGCTGAACTTCTACCTTTTAGAACTAAGCCACTCCCATCATTAATGGCCTTCATCTATCCACAGAGCCCTCAAAGGCCTAATCACCTGTTAAGGGCCCCACCTCCTAATCTATTCCAAGGGCAATTAAGTTTCAACCTGAGTTTTGGAGGGGACTGTAGCAAGTTCCCAACTCAAAACATAGGCATGGGACAGAGACTCTTGGCTCTTAGTAGCCAGCTGAGCCCGTATCCTCGCATCCTCACAGATATCAATCCAAGAGAAATGCAGGGTGAAAAAGGTTAGCGGCAGCAGGTAGAGAGTTCAGATCCACCCTTAGACAGGGTAGGAGTAGGTTAACTCCCGTCAGGAAGAGAATGGGCATCACTATCCAGATTCCCTCCTTCCTAGGTACCAGATTGTTGGGGACAAGGGCAGAGAACTGGGGTCCTGGAGGTCAGTGCTGGGGGGCTGTGTGTCCAGGAGGCATCTGCTTCTCCAAGCATGCCCCAGCTCAGCCAGCCATCCCACTGCTGCCCCCCCACCCCTACCTTCGCTCTACTCCCACTCACAGGCCTCTGGAAGCACATGCACTTGGAAAGCGTAGCTTCTCAAGGAGCGGGAGAGTTTCCTTCCCCCCATACCCCCTGCTCCTGCCACACATCACCTCTCAAAGAGAATTATTTTAAAGCCTCTCAGGATTTCTCCCATGGGGGCTTCAGGCTAGTGGGACTCCTGCCTGTCTGACCCGGTCTGCTCTGCAGGGCAGGAAATGGGCCTGGGAATCCAGGCTGGAAGATGCTGTCAGGGGGATGAATGCCATAATGAAAAAATAGGCACTGCTGGAATAGTCAGAGAGCAATTGTAATAAAGAAGATTGCTATGAAAACCAGTGGCAGCGGCGGCAGCCTTCCAGCCGGCCCCAGGAGCACGAATAAATGCATTCGCAGAAGTGACAGGAATGAAGGCGGCAGAAATGGATTGCTTTAATTCCCCTTCCTGGGGAGGTGGGAGGTGGGAGCAGTGGGCCAAAAACATGGTGCCTGTGTATGGAGGAGCACAGAGCCACTGGGCAGGAAGCTGGGTAGCAGGAACTGCTTCCAGTACCGTCTCAGAGGCTCTGGCTAGCTCCTCCTGGAGATGAGGACCTGTGAGGACCGAGACTGTCCCAGCCCAGTGTCCGCAGCAGGGTGGAATGATTCCTCTGCAGTCCTACCAGACGTCTTGAGCCTGGGGTGGGGTGCTTCAGGGATTCAGAAGACAACATTTAGCCTCACTTGACCTGCCTTTCCAGGCAGGGAGTTGTGTCCGGGGGTTCAGGGTTGTATTCTGCAGCCTGGTACAATGGGAGGGAGCCCTCCTACATGTCCGTGGGCTTAGGGTGCCCTAGGTCTTTAGTGAAGGGTGCCCAGCCCTAGGAAGGTCACCCAACCTGCTGCTTCCCTCCTCAGCCCCCATGCTGGGTGGCATTTGGTTGGCCATGGAGGGGTAGTGGCTGTGTCCTGGCTTCTGGTGGGCCTTCTCTGCCTCACAGAAGTATTCCAGGTGCAGCAGTAGGACAAAGCAAAACCTTGAGCCCAGCCCCATGGAGGATACCCCTATGGCTGGCCTCTGACCCCCTGCTGTCTTCCCAGCTGCCCATCCATGTCCTATTCCGTGGATCTGCCGGCCACCAGTGTCATCATCACTTTCCACAATGAGGCCCGCTCTACCCTCCTACGCACGGTGAGAAGGTAAGCCCAGCAGGGGGCCTCCGCTCAGTCGTGCTGCTTCCTAGGCCACAGTGATTCGGGGTCACCTGGTTGGGGAGGACATCAGTCTTGGGTTCAGTGGCCGGACAGTGTGAAGGCCAGCAAGCACTGGGTGAGTGAGTCCTATCCTGAGAAGCCAGGGCTGCTAGGTCAGGTCCTGGGGACCCTGTGGGCCCACAGCAGTCACTCAGGTCCTCAGTCAGGAGAGGAGGCTGGATGAACATGAGGCCTCAGGAGGGTGCCCGAGCACCCAGCAGGTGCCTGTTGGTGAGTGCCCTCCTCCTAAGCTTGGCCTTGTGGTCAAGTTTAACCCCCACTCACTCTCGTTGCTTCAATGAACCTAGGTAACTAGATTCAGAAAGGAGAAGCCACTGGTATTCCAAGGACTAAAGGTGGTTTGATTTCCCTTTCTGGGGAGTGGTGGAGGCTGCCCAAGAACACCCTTCCTAAACGATTAACCCAGGAAGAGCCCACTATCTTCCAGGCAGGCAGCCGCAGTCCAGCTGGGATGTCCTGGGCAGGGCTGCTAAGCCTCGGGCAGCTCCAGCTCTTGTTTTGACAACTCAGCCAGGGCAGCTGCCACCCCCCATCAGAGATGGTCCTGAGTGCCCGAGGGTCCTGGCAGCTGTCAGCCCTTCCTTAGAAGAACCTGAGGGGTGCACTGTACCTTGGCCACTGATCAGGGCCCAGGAACTTTACATGCAGTTGCCATGGCCAATGTGCTGGCCCTGGAGCTGGTGGGGAGGGAGCCCATGACCCGAGGAGGGTAAAACGGGAGGCAGTCTTTAAACCCAGGCCCATTCTCTGTCCCCACTGCTGCTCCAGCGTCCTGAACCGAACTCCTGCCAACCTGATCCAGGAGATCATTTTAGTGGATGACTTCAGTTCAGATCGTAAGTATTTAGGTTCCTTTTTGTACCCTCCTACCCTCTCGTTTCCCCCAGAATGCTGAGGCAAGCTTTATCTAGACCAGAGGACCCGTGCTCTTGTAAGAGAGTGAGAGAGAGAAAGAGAAACCCCAATGGGTGTTGTGCTACAATTCCTTTTCCTCCATCCCTCCACGGCCCAGTTGAGATTCTGGCAGACACACACGTAAGGCTGCTGTGCTTTTCAGCCCACGAGGGCTGGGATTCAAACCATGGTCAGTTACAGTAACCACTACGCTATGGGGCCAGCCCAAGGCAAACACTCTGGAGGTTTTTCTGGCTATCACAGGGTGACCTCTTTCCCCATGTGGGAATCCTCAGGCTTTTCTAGGACCTCTCCCTGGCCCTGCTCCCTGGTGCCAAAGGAGGGAAAAGAAAAGTGTTGCTCTGGATGACATTAAAAAATAAAAAGAAAAGAGCCATCAACAGCACCCATCATTATTTCAGCCACGTATGCAGAAGTCTCTTCAATACAGCTCTATTAGGAGGGCTGGCCCCACTGCCTGGGCTCCCCAGAAGGAGCAATGCCATAGTTCAGGCTGGGGCAGTCTGGCCTAAGAATAGGGACAGAGTAGTCCTGCAGCCACACTCCTCCATTCCTCCCCTCCCCCTGCCCTTTCCCCGGGCCTGGTATGGGACAGCTCTGGGGCAGTTCCAGGGCTTGCAGTCTGATGCGGTCTCCCACTGAGCTTGTCTTCTTTCTTCTCTCCACCCTCAGCTGAAGACTGTCTGCTCCTGACCAGGATTCCCAAAGTCAAGTGCTTGCGCAATGACCGGCGAGAAGGTGAGTCCTGGGGCTCAGTGTCCCATCATGGACACCTCTCGGTGCAGTCTTCTTCACTGTCTCTCTCCCTTTTGGGCCCCATGGTGTACCACACCAGCGTGGCCCTGGCCATTCCTGATGGCTGGGACCAGGGTCTGCAGAATACCCTCCTCCTATCCCAGGACAGCCCCTGTAGCACACAACTGCAGACGTTGCTCTGCCTCTGGCTGCCTTTGCTGTCTCTTCTGAGAAACAGGATGATGATGGTAGCCTTTCTGCCTTGTAAGGGTAGCATAAGGACTGAACGAGATATGCTGTGTGGAAAGGCTTGGAGCAGACCAAAGGGCAAGCTAAAGCAGATGTGACCCCACTTCCAATCAAGAGGTGTCTTGGAGCACCAACTCCAGCATAGTGCTGTGCATGGCATTCTAGGGGACATGAAAGAGGCCCCAAAATGGTCCGTGACCCAGAGGGTGTGGCATGCAGCCGAGGGGTTGGAATCCACTACAGGCACCCAGCTGATTATGGTTAGAGCCCAAGGAGAGGGTGCCCAAGGAGAGCTGGGTGAGTAGGAGGCTCTCTGGAGGAAAGGGCCTGGACAGGAGATGGGTAGGATGAGACAAGCAAGGAGAGGAAGGGAGAGTGTGTTGACCTGGGGACTCTGCCAGCACCAACAGGGATAAGCAGACGCATAATCTCAACAGCTCTCTTCCAGAGGCTGCCCCTCTCCCTGAACCCCGTTGTGACCCATGTCAGTCATTTGCTTTGCCCACATTCTCACAATCAGTTCTCCTAACTGCCCATTGTTCCCACTTGCGGAGAGAAAACTGGGGTTGAAGGAGATACCAAAATTTTTCCAGAGGATGAGTAGAGGAGCCAGGATTCCAACCAGGGGCACCCACCTCCAAGGCAAGCTGCTTAAACTCCTACGACATGCTTTTCCCGTGAGAATCCAGGCCTGGTCAACAGCGGGAATGGGTGGAATGAACTTGAGAGGATAGAGGACCTTAGAAGCCCAAGGAAGGCTTGCAGACTTGATAAGGAAGGTAGCAGGGAGCCACTGAAAGTTTTAGAGAGAAAGATAGGTGTATTTAAGAAAGAGCAGTCAGGCCGAGGGGCCATGAAGACATTGGTGAGGACTTCCAGACTGGACGGTATGAAACCAAAGATAAATCTCTTCCCAGCCACTGAATTGTAGGGACTCTCAGGCCTGGGGATATGCTGGTGCCTGGAGTTTTGCCCAACAACAGATGTGAATTTATGATTAAAGCCTTATAGATACCTATGGAGTAGAAGGTGGGACCGAAGGGCCTGGACAGGTGGATGGATGGTTACATGGATACAGGCAGAGTGCTGGGTGAGGAATGGCAGGGGAGTCTCCCAGAAGCGACTTGTGTTCGGAGCTCTGAGAGTGAGGCTGTCGTTCCCCACAGCTTGTGGTATGGATGGCTGCTCTGGCTTGGGCAGAACCAGCTGGGCCAATTCTCGCTTGAGTAGGGAGCTGCCCACAGCAAGGCTGTTCTTTGTCGGTCAGTGAGCCGTTGGTGAGACTGTTGGGGAACAGAGGCGAAGAACAGAATCTAACATACGTGGGCCTTCTAGGCACCAGGCTTCCTCCTGATTGTCTTGTTTGATCTTTCCTCCCCCACCCCCCCGAGATTTTTGCTATAGGGCACATGCACTCACCGGAGAGACAGAGGAAGACAGGGACAGAAAGTCAGAAATTCCCCTCTCAGGAGGAATGGCCACACTGCAATCCCTTCTCCACCATTCTCCTCTTGGAATTCTGGGCATGCACGTACATGTGCCTGGTGTGTTTCAAGCTGCTGGGTCTGGGACTCGAGCTGTGGTCAGCTGTGTGGGAGTCCAGTGCCTTAACCACTACACCCTGCTGGGCCCTATCTTGTTTGAGCTTAACAAGCACAGATTATTACCTCTTGAATCTTCCTTTTTCTTTTCTTCTCTCTCTCTCTCTCTTTTTTGTATAAGAAAGAAAAATTGCAAGAGAGTGTGTATGGGAAAGAGAGAGAGAGACAGGCACTCTTGACAGGGTCTTGCAGCTGCAATCCCCTGTCCAGTCTCCCAGCTAGCCAAGAGTACAGGCACATGCTACTCCCTGTCTATTTAGATCAATCCAGGAGTCAGACCTGGGCCTCCCATATCAACCCAGCCTCATGCAACCATGCCCCACGGTTTGTGCCACCATGACTGGACCCCTCTGAATCTTATAGATAGATAAGAAAACTGAGTTTCAGGGACCAGCAGTTAGCGTAATGGCTATGTCGCTGGACTCCCATGTAGTTGACTGTGGTTCGAGTCCTGGACCCAGTGGCTTAAACTCACACAGGGCGCGTGTACGTGCATGCCCAAGATCCTGAGAGGAGAATGGAGGAGAAGGGATTGCAGCATGGCCATCCCCCCTGGGAGGTGATTTCTCGCTTTCTATATCTCTGTCTCTCTCTGTCTGTCTGGCGAGTGCACACGCCCTATAGCAAAAACCTCTCCAAAAAAAAAGAAAAGAAAAAGAAAACTGAGTTTCAGAGAGCTTAGATAACATGCTTGAGGCTGGCATACAAACTCAAGCCTGTCTTAGTGTAGAATGTTTTTCTGCATGTCATGTAATGGCACAGCTGGAGGAGATGACTCAGGTTTCTAGGTGGAAAAGGTGTCAATTTCTGGTTCACCCTCAGGGCCAAACCACTTTTTTTTTTTTTTTTTTTTTAATTTTCCCTTACTTAACTTCATTTTTCT